TGTTAAGGGGAAGACCTGGTTAAAGATCTCACTACTGTTTTCAGTTATACACCGTTTTGTGATCACTGCTGTTGACATATTTGTGTGCGCTGAAATTTTACTATCAAAGAAAACACAGTAATGATCAGACAGGCCCACATCAGACACAGTAACCTTTAAAATGCTCAAACCCTTGGAGATCAGTAGGTCAAGAGTGTGTCCTCTATTATGTGTGGTCTCTGTTGGGTCAGTTTTAGCTCTGTTGATATATGTGATGCTAGCATGAAGCTGTCAGGTAACAGGTTTGTGCTAATATTTGTCATCTTTGTTGTTTGAAACATACTTCACGAAGTTTGTACTGCAGTAAAACTCAACGTTTCCATGACAAATTTACTCTGATTACACAAACATGCAGGAGCAGCTCATAAGTAACTGGACACGATTTCCCTGAACTTATTGTATATTAGTACATTACAGCAGAGGTGGTAAAAGTACATTCTGTACTTAAGTTGAAGTGCAGATACTTAAAAATACTGCAGTAAACGTTGAAGAACTGATTCACCGTCTTTACTCAAGTAAAAGTGAAAAAGTACACACTGTGACGTGTACTCAGTAGGTTAGGATTAGGACATCTCTATCAGCTATTATTATGCAAAGGTAAAAGGAGCCTGTGTTATATTAATACAATAATAACATAGTATTAGTAAATGAGAATAAAAACACTATTCAAATCTGAAATTTATTTCTCATGAATGCACTCATCTTGAATCTGTGATGTAAACAAAGAATCTAAAAAAGGTATTTTATGTTGCCTACATGAAGAGGCTGAGTTTGCCTCCACACCTGAACAGGAAAATGTGTTACAGGTAAAGGGGGCTCAGCGTGGGGCAAGTCCCAGCTCACAGTGCAGGCTGTGATCAGCTGACCTGAACACGGTGTCAGCAGATGTTTCACAGTTGTATCCGTTAGTACAAAGGTGGAATTCAGTGAGTTGATCTCAGCGCCATCAGCTTAATTTCATATTAATCTCTGCTGCGCTTTATGTAATCTACATTACATCAGCACGCTAACCTGTTTATCTGCACTTCATGCAATGTTTGAATAACACACAGTTAATTTACTTGATTTGTTATGCAGCACATTTCACAATATGAAAACTCATCAGATGTGATTAAAATGATGACATCACATGTAATCATTAAATCTCCCTGAGCAGGCCTCACCTTTAAATATACCCTTTGTACTTCCTCTTCTGTCTTCTTCCTCCACCTCTGACTGAAGTTACCTCTTAATTCTCTTCTCTCCCTGAGAAGTCCAGCAGCTAGGCTGTTAGCAAGGAAACTCACTAACAATCTTGCATTTGAAATTAGCTGCCACTTAAAAAGCGTCACTGCCTTCATGCTTCCCCACACTTGCACCGGCCCACAGACACCACAGATACCTGGAAATTCTACTTAAGTAAAGTAACAAAGTATTTGTACTTTGTTACTTTCCACCTTTGTACTTCAGTATATTTCTTGTTACCTCGGCAGCTCTTTCTGTTTCTGTGCACTTTGTTAAAGAGGTAACATATACATAAATGCAGATGTGAACATAAATGTGAGGTCGGAGGTCAAATATGACATGATAGTCTTGCTTTATACATGCTGTTGACACATGGCGCACATGTAAGAATCCAATTTTTTCTGCCCAAAGCACAAACCCAATTCTTTAGTAAAATGTTGAATATCTGTTCTGTAGCCTCTCCTGGTCACCTGTCTGTGGGTGTGCGACTAAACACATGCATGAATAATTCCCTCGAAGCGTGTAGTTTTCCCTCCACACCTGTCTCTCTGTGCACTTCCTGTTTTTAACCCAGTGTTAGGAATAAAGTTTCACTGTGTGAGATGCAGACACAGAAGCCAGGTCACCTTTCAACCTCCTGACTGCCTCATGTTCATGGAGCTCCAGACACCTGTGGATGTCTCACAGTGGGGGGTTTTTTGTCCTCAGGTGATTCCTGTGGTGGCCCGGATCCTGACAGAGATGTTCTCCGGAGAGCTGAGCTGGTCCACGGACAGCATCCGGCTGCAGATCTCAAACCCCGATGTGAAGGATCAGACGGTGGCACAGTTCAAAGAGTTGCAGAGGCTCCTGCAGAGCCAAAACATCCAGGGACCCTGGAA